CTTTCTCTCTCTCTCTCTCTCTCTCTTTCTCTCTCTCTCTCTCTCCCTCTCTCTCTCTTACTATCTCCCTTTACCTCACTTTCCCATTCTCCCAGTTAAAGGATGGTCCTGACAGAGTGGAAGCACCACGCCTCACTACAAACCTAAAATAGATCAAAGTGAACGTAACAAAATCCTTAAAACACCAATGACAAAATCGAATCGTAAGGGATTCCAGCGTGTTAAAAACTCAACCTTTCAGATTTGTGGACAGAGCGCAGTAAGAACACAAAGTACAGGTCAGTACGGATCCTTGTTATACTCACCACAGCACTGGCCGGTCGACATGCAGGACTGTTGCAGAGTGTCCAGCCCGGGGCACTGACCACCACAGTTGGTGTAGCCGCTGGACATCTGGCCGCACATACGGGTCTTCTCCTGGACGCCTTGACCACAGGAGGCGCTGCATGCTGACCACTGACTCCAGGATGTCCAGCTTGCGTTTTCTGGAAGAGTATATGGAGGGGGGGGGAAGGGAGGGGATGTGATGTGGGAGTGGAGGGAGGGGTGATGGTGGTATTAAATAAGTTAATAGATAGACACGGGGAAGTTTCATTTAAGAAGAAAGATAGGAGGGGGGGTGTTTGTTTGGCTTTTTAAAGATGGTTTTCTTCGTGTGTGAGTGGAAAGGGGGGGTGGTAGAGACAGAGAGAGACAGAGAGAGACAGAGAGAGAGACAGAGAGAGACAGAGAGAGACAGAGAGAGACAGAGAGACATAGAGAGACATAGAGAGTTAGAGAGAGTCAGAGAGAGACATAGAGAGACAGAGAGAGAGAGACAGAGACAGAGAGAACGGGAGTGTTTTGGGGGAATGGGTTCGTAGACTGACAGTTTGATAGGCATACATGTGAAGTCTGATACAATGGAAGAAGGAAAGAAAGAAAGAGAGAGAGAGAGAGAGAGAGAGAGAGACAGAGAGAGAGAGAGAGAGACACAGACACAGACACAGACAGAGACACAGACAGAGAGAGAGAATTATGTTTGGAGACAGGGGAGGGGGAAGGTTTGGTAATGGATAGTTGATTAAACATAGACAGAGATAGAATCTCCCACAACTCCCTACCCTCTTCTATCCCTCTCGTCCACCCCTCCCCTTCTGCCCAACATCCCCCCTCCCTACCCTCTCCGACCCTCTCACTCATCCTCC